AGAATTTTTTGAGACAATTAAGGAATGAAAGCCAGAATCCTTTGAGACAAATAAGGAATGAAAGCCAGAATCTTTTGAGACCATTTAGGAAATAAAACCGGAATAGTTCGAGACAATTAAGGAAATAAGGCCACAAACCTTTTGAGACAGTATATGATTAATTGTGAAATGAATCAAAGCAAACAAGTTTAGAATGTCATGGGAAGACTAGAAACTTCATGAAAACGGGAACAAGATGAGATCATATTGTATAAATATTTATCCTGAATTTATTCATCTACATGCCGCTGGAAATAAGAGGTTTAAGAGGCAAATTAGCAACCAAACGTTCTAATTAATAAATAAGAGTTCTCAGTTTAAGATTACATATACGTGCTTCACAAAGACTTCGCCAATGGCAAACATTGGATCATGTAAGAGCTACAAGTTCAAAGAACTTAAATGAATCAATTTGCAGCAATGTTCCATTTTATCAGTGTAACTATGTTAGACTGAGCTAAAACTGATTCAATTCATCAAATGTAAATCTAAATTAATATTCGCTTTTTCTTCTTTCAATGTGCAAGGTTAGCAGTATCAAAGATAGCGGTACTGCGGTGATGAATTAAATATGATTGAGGAACAACATCATGTATCAGACGCTGAAACACGCACACACACACACACAAACATATATATATATATATATATATATATATATATATATATATATATATATATATATATATATATAATAAAAACTCTTTTCTCTTTAATTGTACTTATTCGTCTTAAAGCTTCCTCCAATAATATATAATAGAAATCTTGTATTATTTGAACTTTTTCAATTAAATATTAGTCCCACAGTTATCTCATAGACGGTCTCGAGACACTTGTCAAGTATGCAAAAATATGTTATATGAATTTGTTTAAGTGGAACGAGAACACTTTGTTATTTTAGCCGAGTTTCTTATCAAATAAAAGGACACTATTAGTATGTAGAATTTCACTTCAGTAAAAAAAAAATAAAGACTGTTGCTGCTTTAATGCTTTTGATGATTTGCAGGGTTGTCAGATGAAGAAAAGTTGTCTATTAAACGGCATTTCTGAATCTGATTTTCGTAAACCAACGTAAATTGCAAAACACAATAATTTATCTTGTCACAGAAGATTTAAACTTTTGATTGTATCATTAAATCGTGTGCTTATTCAGCTGCACTAAATACGTCATGCTACTCGAGGAGAGGTTATTAAAGTTTAAAACTCTGAAAAGACGTTATTAGAAGGAAAACTAATGGACACAACAAACTGTATGAGTGGCAGATGATATACCGATTATTTTTTTGCAAAATACAAAATCATCTTTGTTTTTATATATGCTTCATTACAACTGAAGTGATCTTCACTATCTGTATTTCTGATGTGTTAACCCTATGTACACCTCGGCGGATCGTACAGATATATCAATGCTTTGTGATTTTTTGGATTTCATAAGTTGGTGTTTGTTTGTGATTTTTAACGTAGCTTTAACAATTTTGCAGTCATATCACTATGATGTCTGCAGTATGGCAGTATATAGTGATGTCTAGCACTGGGGCATCATTCCGCAGACATGAGGCATGATGTACCACCCAGTCACATTATCCTGACACCAGGACGACCAGTCCTAACACTAACCTCTTAATGCTGAGCGTCAAGCGAGGCAGCTGTTAGTACCATTTTTGTAAGTCTTTGGTATGACTCGACCGGGGATCGAACCCACGACCTCCCGCATCCGAGGAAGACGCTCTAACCACTAGGCCACCGGAACGGTGATTTCATAAATTGTCTCCAATAGTATGTAATGCAAACTAACCAACAACGTTTAACGTTTGCTGAAAATGCTGCAGGCAATTGACATCAAAATATATTTTGTACGTTCAACATCGAAAGTATGGAGTAGCAAAGCTAATATTTAAAACAATAATTCGTTTCTAGTAGACCTTTATGCTAGTCAAACGTTAAAATAGATCAACATTTCTGATCAATCATAGATCAGTTTACATATTCTGTTTGTATGAGAAACAATGTTGCCGCATTCACATTGAACCAGTCCATAGGGATAGGACGCTGTCATTGGCTGAAGGTGATCACTTGTTGATACAAATTTCAGCATTTCATTCACCATAAATTAATTATGTTGATTATTAAGAAATGAACTAAAGTCTTGAACAATATGGTAGCACTAAGGATAGTATATAATTAATCTAGAAATTCAAGTGCAATATGGTACGTATGCTCAAACTATTTCCCATAGTTCTGACAGGTGAAACGTACTCAGGGACCTAAGTAAATTGGATTTGTACGTTCATTGAGAGATCTAATAATTATTCCCTCCATGATACTAAAATGTTAATGACATATCATTTTCTGCAGGTTGTTACCATTCCTAATGATTGAGACGTTCAACTGTTTCATAGGTCAGTCTACAGAAGGGAATATTGATGAATATGTAATGAACGTAATCAACACAGTTATCCAATGGTGTGGGAGTAAAACTGTTACAGTCATTAATAACCCAGACATTTTTTAAGGGAGAAACAACGTACTATATAATAGCTTCAAGCTGTGAACAAATGCGCATATACAGAACATGCTCCCAACTGGCAGAACATAAACTTATTTCGTCGTTTGCATATTTAAATGATTTATCTGCTATAAACAGAGTTAATAACTAAAGAATTCAAAAGAGGGATTTCCAGAATGCATGTTTTTGGCCTTCCTCTGTTGATTTTCTTAATGTGAGACTTAGTCCGGAAAACTGCATCTGTAGGTAAGTTGAGTTCGACTTGTATTTCCATTATATGAATCCAAGCTCTTTTCTTTTCTTCAAGATTTTGTAACAATCTGGAAGTTTTAATTTTGATTTCGATTACATTGCTTCCTAAACAACACCAAAATAACCATGCAAGTTATTACAGTAATTTTCTGTTTTTATCTTAAATATTTTAAGATTAATTTCTTTTTCATAATTATGACAAGACATTTTTTTTTATTGCGATGACCAGGATGACCTGTGAGCGTGCGTACTGTATTATAGTGACATTGGTGGTATAAAGTTACAACTCGTATATCACATTTTTGCTGCCAAATATATTTCGTTACAGTAACTTCAGATAAGACGGAGGTTCTGAATAATCAGTATTGTATTTTGTTATATATTGTAGCATGAAATTGTTACAATTTCCAATAAAACTTACTCGTTATTTAATGTATTATACCAATCTAGACAAATACATGAAATAACGCAACACTTCCAATTTTAAAATTATTATAAATAAGATAAAATAAAATAATTCTTGAAATTTATGACTATTTTAGCCTCATTACCTTGTACATGGTTAAATGTTTGGAGAGCTTTTCAACTGTGTCATCAAGTCCGTCCTAGTGTTAAAGTTTTACCCTTGCACACATTTATCTCTTCGGCAAGGTTGCCACCACAAAGGCGACTTTTAAATTGTTTACGTTGTTACACTGGTGTGATCTGATTAGAACAAATGTACATTGCAACAAGAAGAATCATAAAGTCGGACAAGAACAGATTTCAGAACGAAAATCCATCGGAAATTGTAGTTAAGAGCTTTACCCACAGACATAGTACTGAAACTGGTACAGTGAGTTTGAATAACATTTCAACTCACAGACCCTAGATTTTGAGACTGCACGCTGACCAATGGGTACTTCAGCTAGAGGCTCAGGACAGAAAAGATGAAAAATCAGACGAAATGTAGATATTTTAAAGTTGATGTCATAATATTTTATGTAAAATTTTTGACAATATTAGGTTTGTTGGAATATCGAAGAATAGCTTATCATATTCAAAGAGCATAAGATATTCCTTTACAAAGCACCAATCTATGGTATAAAGTATCTTCTTCTATGTGTGCAGATTGTAATATTTATATCAATGAATTTTTAGACAGAAGCAATTTGCTAATACCTTTATTGTTCAGTTTTTTTTTCATTGTGGTCTTTTTCTTAACACGACTTTAAATTTAAACCCAAATAAATTATGTTCAGCAGACTATTTAAAAATTCAGACATCGCTAGAAATGTATCTGAAAGCTTCGATCTTTATTGCTACAACTTTATCTTCCATGCTCCTTCAGACGTCTATATCACTAGAAATGTATCTTACATGATTGCGTCCAGTGTCGGATTAAAACCTTACTAAGACCTCCTCTACCTGTAAAATGTGAAACTCTCAAAATATTAAGAGCTAAAAAGTTGAGAAAATATCAGTGTTGCCACCATTCCAAATCAAAATACTTATGCATGCAGATCGCAATAGTCATATATAATTCATTCAATGTTATCATCAACAATGGCTTTGAACTTTTTCTGGTGCCCTGGTTGGGCTGGTGCCCTAAGCACGTGCTTCGTGTGCTTAATGGCTAATCCGGCTCTGACGGTATCGGGTACTCTGTATCACTATAAATGTATCTTACATGTTTCCATAAGACATATGGATCACCAGAAATCAGCAGAGGCCATAGCGGAAGATGTGTTTCCGCTGAGCCTGCAAGCTAGGAAGGCCCGAAGATTTTTACATTTATTCTTACCAAATCTGCCTTTCAAATTTAAACTGTTTGTTTTATGTTCGAAATAGAGATGATTCTTTCATAAATAAATCATCACAGAAGCGTTACCCCAGCAATTAATTATCATTACTGATTATGATGCTAGTGACGTAGTGTTTTAGTATTTATTATCATCATTTCGCACCAGGCCCTCACAGCCCTAAAATCTCCGTTGCAGGAAATGTATTTTACATGTTTCCATAAGACCTCTGTATTACTAGAAATTTATCTTACATGCTTCCATCAGATCTCTGTATCATTATAAATGTCTTATATACTTTCACTAAACCTCTATAACACTACAAATGTATCTTAATACTTCCATCAAACTTCTCTATTACTACAAATTATCTTACATACTTTCACTAAACTTCTATATCTCTTCAAATGTATTGGGATACCGCTCCAGTGGCCTAGTGGTTAAAGTTTCCTATTTGGACTTGGGAGGTCGTGGGTTCGAGCACCGGCCGAGTGATATAAAAGAGGTTAGTGTTAGAACTGGTCGGCTAGGTGTCATTATAATGTTTTCTGGTGTGACATTATGCTGCATGTCTGCGGCATGATGCCTCGGTAGTAGACATCAGTATAAACTGTCACGCTGCAGACATCGTAGCGATATGACCAATAAAATGTTAAAGCTACATTAAAAATCCAACATACTAAAATATATCTAACGCACCTCCACCAAACCTCTGTTTACTTACTTTTTATTCATTATTAACATAAGAAAATAACGAGAAAAATATCAAGACTTCCCTTTTTCAAATGAATCAAACTTGGTACATAATTTCATCAGATTTCCCTATATTATCCCTTCTCCCTCTCGTTTCTCTCATTATGTAGGGTAAGAACTTGGATATATATGGAGTTACTCCAAATGAAAGCTGAGTTGGATGAATCCCTTGAATTTGAACATACATCAAGTAGTCTATGGTAACCCGCTAGAACCTGGGGGTCGTTGTATTGACACGAGTACAGTTTACATGTAATTTATCTACGCTTTTCACAATACCAAGGATAGAAAGTTTCAATTGTCCGTAAATACCTTATTGTAAATTACAGAAAGCTCAACAGAATTGGGAAGCATCAAATACAAAGCTTCCTGCCTTGGAAAATAAGAACTCTGTGATTGAACATGCCATTATCAGTAATGCAAAACATACATGGTCTAAATGCACAACCCTGTCTTATATGTGGCATCGGAGTCAAGTGATATGATCAAATTTGCCAGCCTTAAGGATTTGTTTGCGAGTACTATAAAGTGCGAAAAAATCAATAAAAAAAATCAATAAAACCACAAACTCATGTGGCTGCCAATCACAAGTAGGTAACACAACAAAAAACAATAAAACAGAAATAGATGAGGAAATAACCAGTACTGAAGCAATTGCAGTTTCTGATCCAGATAAAATACGAAACATGACACAATCCATCAACACCATTTCCCAATTAGAAACACTTCAAATAGTATAATTATGCATACTGTTCCACAGCTAAAACAGCTCCAACGAAAACACAAAACTTATGCATCAAGTCGTTGGAAAAAGGCTGGTCTATTTCAGTTACCTAGATTCTGGTTTACAGTTTCAAATTTGGGTGCAAGAGTTCACCAAGGATATCTGGTTCACTGCCTTCATGATTTATTACCCATACATGCCGTTTTGGCAGTTGCAATTGCGGTTCGTCGATTCGTTGCAGTTTATGAAACAATCTGACGGTGGAAAATTTCAAACTCTTTCGCCGATACTGTCCACCCAATAGAGACCTGCTGACGGAAAAAGGTGTATAATCCGTCCAAGCACATGAAAGACTGGAACAAATTTGCAGAAACTAAGTTGCCACTAAGTTTTCTGCATATTTGTCAAGTAAAGGAATTTCAGAAGAAAACAATACGAAAACGCAGAGAAAGTTTGCTTATTATTTGAGTTTAAAAAACTTAGACGAATATCACAATCTGTGCATTGATGTGTTGTTGCACAATGATGTGTTTGAGAAATTTCGTGATATTATCATTCACCTGTACAAGTTCGATCCTACACATTACATTTTATCATTGGGTACGTGCTGGGATGCATTGTTTTCCAAAACCAAAACTGAGCTGGAATTGCTCACTGATACTGGTCAGCATCTATAATTGCTTGTGATTGGCTATGAGTGAAAATTCAATCTCAGAATGTAACTAAGACTTTCTGCTCTTGTGCAAACCGATCTCACCTCATAAAATGTTAGTTTAAATTGATTCACTCATTTCATCTTAAGTTGCTTAAATACAAAACGAGGTCAATAGCTGATCAAATTCAATTTATGATAGAAATGGTTCCTTAGCATCAAACTTCACCAGTTCCGGTGGTTATTAACAACCTGTCAATTCTGTTTGGGAATTATGGGATTCGAGACTACTTGCAAGATTTACTTACCTCATGTACTAAAGAACATACTAAAGAACCTGACAACATGCAAAACTACGTACCTCCAACGCTTTCGATTTGACAATTGAATTGCTCAAATAGTCATGGGCAATATTTTAACACAATTTGTATCAAATGTTTTACTAAGTTTAAATTCCAATCATATATATTGTTTTGACTTTAACAAGCCATAAAAATAAATAAAGGAAGAGAGTCAAGTGTTTCGAATTTGTCATTCTTAACACGTGTCTGCCACGCTGGTCAACGCTGGGATAATATCCAAAATTGAATAGTACAATCGTACATAGTGGCTACATGGCTTAGTGCCTTATCACAGCATCATCAGTAATCTAGTTAAGTTGTATAAATCACGGGGTATATATTCCCTTCATTCATTGGCCCATAATATAAGATTTGTATTAATTGATACTGAACGATACGATCATATTTAATCAATAACTGTTCATAATGTAAGAATACGTTCCACGGTAATGGTTTTATTTTCAAATATAAATTTTGCAGAGTCTGCTGGAATAAAATAAACGGCAAACCATCCATTTCGTTAACTTGATAGCTTGTTTCCGCCCTGATAATACAACAATATGATCTTTGGTAGATGTTAAATACTTTGAGGTTTACAAGGGAACATCCTTAAAAACTGTTTGATCTCAGAGAACTATGTTATATACTTTTCTTTCTTCTTCTTTTATATACAACTTTTATTCGCTCCAAATTCGGCTATGGATGAGTTTTTTATGGTTCAACAAGAAAGTAATACTTAAAGATGCTAGACCCAATTTATCGTCAAGGAATAAGACTATTTGGGAACATTTAAGACATCTCCATGTGACAGCCTTCTGGCTAAAGCGAACGAGCTACATGTATCACATAGTAGAGAAATGCTTTGTATATAATAATCTTTCTAATTAAGATCAAAATCCTCTGAACCCTAAACACAAAAAATTATACCAAAATGAACCAAATGCCATAACTACCTTTGGTGGCATAAAAATCTCATATAGCTTTGACAATGCAAAAATGTACCATTCTAAATCCAGCAGATGTTCATCTCCTAAACACCACCCTAACTACTTTAAATAACCAAAAGTATGTTACAAGATGGAAACAAGTCTGATATAAACTCTTCCGTCATCCATAACTCTTATCAGGAATTCCTTGCCAGATATAATAATTACACAAGTATACTACAAGTATACTAGGTCGATGCCGCGTTCATTAATGGAAATCAACAAAAGTTATCATACCAAATGGTGTAACGATTTTTGTTTGTTTTTTTCTTCAGCTGAAATCAGGTCAATCGACCTAGCCCTGAAATATATCGAAATGAAAAGTATATTAAATTTCATCATCTTCTCCGATTCACCATCCTTACTTCAGTCACTGCAAAATCGAAAATTTGAAAACCCATTACTGACCAATATTCTCATCAAACATGCCGAATTGTCTACCTCCTATAATATAGTATACTGTTGGTTACCCATCCAGGTGCTAAAGGTAATAAAAAAGCAGATAGCGCTGCTAAAATGGTACTATCCCTATAACCATCTGATTTTTAAATAATTAAATAAATACTGATTTTAAACCTAGTGACAACAGGTCTTTGGGTCTTGAGAAGCAGTGTCGTTCATACTAAGTATCATTTCATTTAAATATTTATTGACACACACCATATACAATCTCCTTTCATTTGGAAGCTACACATATTACCCTCTACGTATCATAGCATTGCTTTTAACTGTTTGACTTTATTATTGCTTGTCGATAATGAACTTTTTATCAGCTGTAAAAATACTTTATGTAACCATATTTATGGCGATAAATAGCCGTACTGTGCTGGTGCGTCTTAAAACCACAATCATTGAATCAATCAATCAATCTTCTTATCTTTCGCACATCGAACCAGGAGAACTATCAATGAACTATCAAGAAGACAATTAAAATTATACTTGTTAAAAATGGAAGACATATACGACATGCACATTATGTTTCTGATTATTACTTTTTTGCTACAGACATGAATAACTCAAAGAAATCCATGGATTGCCGTATATTTTCTACCACGAAACGCTGTAAAACATGTTTAAATATAAAAACAACAACGTAGACAAGAATAAAAAGTACACTATCGCCAAATGTCATGCGTTCTAAAACGAGTGTATATAATGTTTTTACCATCGGGACCGCTTTCACATGCTTCACATAATCCATTCTCGCTCATAACTCGTGTCCAACAGCAACGATCATAGACCCTAATCCGCCGTCATATACAAAGATCAGGGTCTATGTTTTGGGTTCTATGGATTTCTCATAACAAACTGCGCACTATGCTAAGGCTTTTTGTATCTGTGTTGTTTGAAGGTGAGTACGTCTTATAAGTGAGTACAAACAGTAGATAAACAGGAAAAGTTGCTTCTCAAAGTACATTCAGTTCGTCTTTTTGCTTGTAGTTTATTGAGAAACCAAACATTTGTTTCCGATGTTTTGTTTATGACGCTGAGAGCTACAATATGTATGTGCTGAATGTTTCTAAGGTTGTGTTGAATTAAAATATGTGTGTAACCAAATGACGGCGATTAAAATATTTCTACAAGGGTGTGTGCTTATCGTAGTCTGCCGCAGCGAATGATCGTTTTGACATGATAGTTTGAGATTATTGTTTTTCAATAAAAGGGGTCGCTACTTTTCATGTCGAGCGAAACAAATTGTATGGAATTGATCATTTCATGAAACTAGGATGCATCATTACAGAGCCATATGTTTTGCATCAGATCACAGCCAACAATAACAGGTTATAGAAACTGCCACATTTCCTGACTAATCACGATTCAAAATCCAAATTTTAGGCGGACAGAAATTTAAGATAAGTACTTAAATCATGACAATGTTGCTGGAGCTATTTTGTAATATGAGCAGTGGCATAGCAAAAAATCCAACCCACCCACCCCAACTTAATCCTGCGTATGGCAGAGCTGTACGCATTAACAGAGATGAGCCTTCCAGACTTTTTATTTTGTCGCAGTCGCAGCACAGGATCTACTGGATGTA